CCCCCCTAATCAGTCTGCAGACCATCAGGCCAGTCCTGCAATCCTTACTCAGATGAGAAGGGATTGTAGGATCAGGACCTATATATTGAGGAATCACTCCACCTTAAGGATGAGAGGATGGGAGCCAGATCACCATGGTACAGTAAATTGCGTGAGTGTGGGAGGGGAAATTACAGCTCAGGGCCACAGGGCAAACCCCTACTTTTAATCAAAAGGGCCATGAGGATCTGCTAACGTCAGTGCAGAATAGGCAGGACTAAGTGTTCTTAAAGGTCTGCTCCAGAAGTCCCACAAGCTTTAGATCTGGCGTTGATCTCTATTTAAAAATCTCCAAGCACACAAAGTTCTGCTGAAATATTTCTCCCTAATTTGCCATGATAGGCACTACCTAGGCACAGAACACATACAAATGACTCATTCACATGGGAGGGACTGTTTGGGTTTCGCTAACATTTCCATTGACAGGGCAAAATCATGAAGAGGTCAGTTTGGAGGCCTGATTCCTGCAGGCACTCACCCTTGGCTTGACTTCACTCAGGCAAGGCGGTGCATGGCCTCCATGATCCTACTCCCATGCATTATACACATCGAGGACAATTATTGGGAATTGCACCAAGCAATCCCTGTACCAAGATACCCAGATGACTAGATGGTCTGTTATCCCATTCGAACACGGTACCGAGGACCAATATTAACTGAGGCCAGAGTTGTAATCTCCTGGGTTGAAATCGAGAGCTTTAACAGCTAAGTCTTAAACCGGGGATGAGTTGGGGGAAGAGACCTAGATCACGATGGAATCTCTTTCAATGAAATTCAATGCAGAAGCCGCATCCCATTCAGAAGTTGCTACAGAAAGTGGTGGGGGGTGGTCCAAAGAAGGAGCCGTTTTCTTTTTACACTTTGGGGAGATCGAAGTCAAGCCCGAGTTTCTCCGCTTGTAACCGAGCCGGGGCCAGACAGATTTCCCGAAATCTCCGGGGACGTGCCAAGGCATAACGAGGACCCGGGCCCAGCCTGCTTCCCCCAGGACATTCCCAGAACAGGCTCCGCTCACCCTCCGGCCCAGCTGATGTACCAGGGGCGTTTCTCGTGTTAAGTTAATAATGCAAGCGATGAATAAATCCGGATCCTTTGCCAGCTCTCTGGGGCAAGCCCCCGCCCGTCTTGGCACCTTCCTCTCCAACGGGGAGACCCCAGCCCACCTCCGGGGGCAGCAGCTGTGGGATCTGCCCCGTCTGCCACCCAGCCCCGGCAGGGCATCGCCTTTCTAAGCCAATAGCCTCTGGGGAATCCGTGCCCCCCTCCCCTGGGTCCGCGCTATGGGTGCGGGGGAGAACGGAATCCCCCAGCGCCAGCTGTTTGCCCCCAGCCCACACACACCTGCCAGCCCCAGCTGCGTGGCCACGTGCCCCCGGCGCAGCTGCCTTACCTGCGGGGGCGCCGCCTGGGTCCCCTGGAGAAGCAGCAGGAGCAGCAGCCCCCGGGCAGCCATCGGCCCCGCTCCCCGCGAGCGTGAAGGTCCGACTCCTAGCGCCTCCGCTCGCGGGACTCCCGCATCTCGGCTCGCCTGGACCGCGCCGAGCGCCACTTCCCTGGAGCCAGCCCCGCGCCCCTGCGCGCGCCAGCAGCTCCCGCGGAGACTTTCTAGCGCGAGCAGCGGGGGCGGCAGAATCCGAAACCCCGAAATCACACCGAGAAAAGGGGTTTGACAGAGCGTGTCACTAGCCCGGCCCCCTCCCGCCTGCCCCCCCAGCATGCAAATTGCAGCGCTAGGGAGCCCATGGGGTTTCACGCCCTTGCCCGAAAAACAACTGAGGCCGAGGGGATCAGTTTCTCCCCCTTTTGCCCGTCCCTGGCTGCAGGGAGCGGGAACAAAGAACCTCGGAGCCCCCTTCTCTGCCCCGGGCTGGGCAAACTCCTGCTCCAGCCACCCCTCGCCCTCTGAGACAACACGCATTTTCCTCTGCTTGGAGGACAGCGAGCTCACCCCCCCCCCCGGAAAGTATGGGTGCTTTAAGCCTGAACTGGGGGGGACCCGCCTTGCCCTTGATTTCAGGTGGATTTGGAGCAACTTCTATTTGAACGGTCCAAAACCCCGCGGGATTAGCTTTATCCCAAAGAGAATTTCAGCCAGTCCCCTCCCTGTAAGACTCTGCATGAAACCTCTTCTGCACCCCCCCCCAACAAAAATAAGTTTTGTAAAAATAGCCCCTTGAAAAAGGACAGAACGGGTTAAAAAAAAGCCACCCTGAGCCAGGCAGTAAAGTCCCGAGAAGCTGAGTTTTCATGACGATGCTTTTTTTGTGCGTGTAAATTCTGCTTAGCAAAGGTCAGCACAGAATGAGTGGAGGGTAATTCGTTGATTTATCACTGGTGTGCAACAACCCCACTGAAACAACCCCTGTAATTACCCGGCATTTCACTCTCCTGCAGCCAAGTTCATTACGCAAAATGGGAGCACTTTCGCTGAAATGGCTTTTGAAGTCCTTATTTAACTCACTTTATTCAAGAGTCATGGATGTCTTCTCTAGAGCCCCCCCCTCCACAATCACATAAGCACCTACTTAACTTTACACACCCGAGTCATGCCCTTGGACTAGTGGACTCAGGTGTGTTTGCAGGATTGGGTCCTTACTTGTAAAATTAATCTTCGGCTATTTTTCAAAGCAATTTTTACATTTAAAAATGCAGTCTAATGCCTTCAATAGAACACCAATGTATTCCCAGCTATCACACAGAACTGAAACCTAAAATAAACATAGGGCCCTAAATTTTCAGAGGTGACCTTGAGCACTGCATTGTAGAGTTCACTGATCCCTACCAGTATATTATCTACTTTGGCAAAATATGTCCTGGGCTGCAGTCTCAGTTATAAACTTACAGAACACAAACTGGCTGTGGGTAGCAGGTGTTTGAGGTTTGGGGACAGCAGAGTGGTTGAGTGGGATAGTGTGTGTGTGTGTGTGTGTATTGGGCTGTTAAAATTACTGTCTGGAAAATTTATTTAAACTTTATGGTAGATTACATGGTTTTCTTGGTTCCTAGAATCAAGGTTGCTGGATTGGTTTATTTTTGGTTTTGTTTTGAACTTTAATCGACATAAATACAACAGCCAAATTTGGGGATAGGATGTGTGTTTTATTAGGACAGGCACCAACATGGGACTGCCTCTGCTTAACGGTACCTATATGAGTGGTCTTACTGAAGTAAGTGCAGCTAGGTGACTGAAGGGCCCCCAAGACCACAGTACTTGGATGCTCATAGAACAGGAATCTAATATTAGGCAAGAGCTTAAGTCTTTCCAAAAACAGAGATGTGGGTTTAAATCAAATCAAAATTGAACGTGCCGTGTCAGTGTGGGGAAAAAACCCTGACATGGTCACCGACCACTGTTATTGTCTACTGTGTGAGGTAGGCTCTGCATTAAATAATACCATTCTCAGAATGGGTATTCCAGTCCTCAGGCGTTTGAAATAAACACATTCGATTCAGACCGTGTTTTGATTATATTCAAGTGAATTACCAGGGACTTTCTGAAAGGAGCCATACCAGGAACTACAACACCCACCTCTGCTTCAGCAAAATAAAATTATTTTTCTCAAAATGTTCCATTCATTTCCTAGAAAATAATCCCCTGCACTGAAGACAAACACAGATGTTACGGAAAAATTGTTTCTCCAGGTCCCAGTTCTCCATAAGGAATTTAAATTTAACGGGCAGAAAGAGAAAATCCTTGGTAGCACAATTGATTATTGTTTATAATACCCATCTAATTGGATCTGTCCCTCTATTTAAACACTTACTAAAATGTGTATTTGCCTATAAATAGTCCTTTGAGCTCAATGGTACTACATGCAGGTGCAAAGTTACTTAAATGTGTATGGATTTTCAGGTGGACAGCTTTGTTAATTACCAATGCTATTAGCACAGTGCCAAGGTAAATATTTTGGCTGCAGTATGAGTGAGAAAATAGTTGAGAAAAGAGGTATTCTTAAACACTGTCAAATGGAAACAAGGGATCATTCTATCAAAGGAGACAGTTTAAAATGCCATCTTTTGAAAACTGGGTTTCACTCACAGCTGCTATCTAAGGCATCAGTTGTGCACCCATTTATGGCAGTGGGAGTGTTGCCAATGACTTCTGTTAGTACAGGATCAGACCCAAAGGACCTACAATCTTTGACTCTTTTAGTCTCAATGGCTTGAAAGGAGCCTCTTGCTGGAGTTAAGGGCTACGCTATGTGCAGGCTGCAGAATCAGGTCCTAACACAATATTCAGTGAACACGGCCCTGTTACATTTGCAGGTCAAGGATTCTCATGGCTACAGTGATACTCAGGAAGGTATTTGCAGCTGAAGATCATTTACCAAATTTCTCTGTTGCCATCCCCGTTCCCAGTTTTACCAGGGGAGAGCTTCCAACCCGAGACCTTGGAGGATCACACCTGCTGCAGTATCACAAGGGGAGAGAAGTGGCTGCTTGTATAGTCAGTACCCAACCCCATTTAACACCTTATAGGTGAAACCCAGCATCTTAAACCTCTGCTGGAAATCAGCTGGCCGCCAGGGCAGATATGGGGCAGTGGTGTATTGTGCTTGTATCAGGAAACACCACTTAGGCCTGGTCTACACTAGAAAATTAAGTCAGATTAACTACATCACTCACAGCTGTGAAAAATCCACATCATTAAACTGGCCTAGAGTTTAGTTCTTCTGTCAACCTAGCTACTGCCTCCCAGGGAGGTGGAATACTTACAGCCCTAGGAGAACCCTGCCGGCTGGTGTAGGTAGCATCTAAGCTGAAGCACTACAGTGGTGCAGCTGCAACATTTCAAGTGTAGACAAGCCCTTAGCAAGCAAAGGCCAGATTTTTACGGTGTTTAGGTGCCTAATGATGTAGATAGGCACATAGTGTGATTTTCAAAAGCAGGGTGTGCTTAGAGATACCTTAAAATATCTGACCCCCAAGCGGCCGCATTTTGTACTAACCGCGGTTTCCCAAACGCTTTGAAATTGCCACTCGCTGGAGAATAGCCTCATTTACATCAATTGGGCTAGGTCCGTTTGCCAGGCCAATCATTCCAGGAACATCACCCTGCAGTATTTACTGTCATGGATGTGTATGGAGATGTTGCATTAATTCTTCATTTTAAACTTTCTGCAGTTGGTTTAAATTCAGCCAGTTGTTCAAATCACCTGCTGTATGTTAAATATTTTCAGGGCAACTTTGATAACATGATCTGGAGAGTGCTGTTAATTCTCCAGTTTCACCCCAGAATGGGTGTCAACTATGGTCAGACTTCACCATAGCAGATGTATTTAGTTCTCTTCTCTTTTTTTCCACCACAATTCCAACATTTGTTTATTCTTACTATGTCGTGTTAGCTGTTGTCCAGTGTCTCATTAAAAGTAACCACCTCTTGAACTGGATTTAATATTGGCTACATGGAGACTTTGCTATTTCTACATATTTTGATTATAAATTGGCTAGCCTAGGTCTTTAGTACACAAATTATGCATTTTTTCATTGAACTTTTAGGACTTGATACTGCATTTCCTTTCACACCCAGAACTCCGACTTTGGTCACAGAAAAGTAAGGGTTTGGGTTGTGCAAGGAGTGCCGGGTTGGATCTTTATGGACATGAAAAGAAAGCGGACTGCTGCAGTCTTGGAGATGTAGCAATGTTCTTGAGAATTAATTTGCACAATACAAAAATCAGGGGTCATCACCCCATAAAATTAATCAGCAGCAAGTTTAATAGGAACAAGAGGAAATACCTTGTCACAAAATGCACAATTAAGTTGTGAAACTCACTGCCATGAAATGTTGTGATGGCTAAAAGTATAAATGGGTTTAAAAAAAAAACTAGGTAAGTTTATGGAGGATAGGTCCATCAATGGCTATTAACCAAGACGGTCAGGGATGTAACCCCATGCTTGGGGTGACCCAAACCTCTGACTGCCAGAAGGCAGGAGGGGAACACACAGGTGCATCTCCCCAAATTGTCCTGTTCTGTACACTCCTGCTGGAGCATTGGTACTAGCCATTGTTGGAGACAGAATACGGGGCTAGATGGACCATTGCTCTGACCCAGTATGGCCGTTCTTATGTAATAAACGTTCCCATTTGTTTCTCTCCCATACATTTAATCTCTAAGAATTAAACCAGGAAGTCCTAGGAGAATACTAAGAATTTCTTGTTGTGGACTTGGATACAACAAGTCTTTGAACAGAGGGAAAGTCCCAAATTATTTCAACACTTGCAGTTCCACTATAGCAGACATCCTCATAGTGAGGAGTTGTTCTATAATAAACAACAGGGGGGGAAATATCAACATCTCTAATAGTATATAAAGTTCCACACTCAGTATCTGCAATCTAAAGAAAAAGAAAGTAGAAAAACAGACCAGATTTTCTCATTTGAGTGGGGAAGGGACTTCTGTCTCAACCAGCTGTGCTATTGAAAAGTAATAATTGAAGTGCAGTGTTTTTGGGGGGAATTAGTGGCCAGCTATAGGAAGCGGATTCATCTTGGGCCATTTGCTCCAACTGGTCATTTATCCCACGCAATACCAAGATCATTATTACTATTACAAAGTATAA